CCAACACATTCCTCAAATGTGAAACATCAGTTTATGCAGAAAAATATAAAATGAAAGAACAGCAATACTCAACCAGTTTTTACACTGTAAATCTATTCTAAAGCTATTCTGGAATTTTCTGTGAGGCCTAGGTGTTAGCTATGATTATACCCATTTTGTATGATTATTCCAGGATGCTATTAGTTCACATGTATTAGGAGACTGAAGATTTTAGAGTAATTTTCAGTTCAGATCTTCCAAGCTTCTGTTACAGATGATACGCATGCAGGCCTGCTTTACTTGGCTTGGAGGCCTTTCCCACCTCCCAAAAATAAAAATGCTGGGTTAGGGCATCACTTTTACATTGTACCACCCTTCAGCTCCCTGATTTTTACCTACAATCTGACAGCCTCATTTCAAACTTTGTATGACTTTAAGATTGTTTGAAGGAGATATTAATCCATAGGGCTACAGGAAATGATGCTGCTGTTTCAATAAGCTAGTCCTTCACAGAAAGACTGCTCAGGAAAACATTCTTTTCTCTGTAGTAAGCTACAAACAAATGGAGGAAGCTCTTTGGCAGCTGTAGACACCTTCTGTCTTTAACTGGAAGAAATAGGCTTGGCTTTTCTTAATCTTTGATTGGCCTGAATTCTTGTGTGCTTTCATGAAGATTTTCACAGGCAGCAGTGGGAAGTTCAGTGTTTAGTGTCTTTTGTCTGTGTACTGAGATCTGGACAATGGGCCCTTTTTGAAAGAACAGCAGTATGTAGAGGATGAGGTAAGAGTTTAGGTAGATAAATTAAGTTTTTTATATTATTACATCACTTTCCCTCCCACCCCTTTGACCCAATCTAAACAGAAAAAACTGGACCCAAATGAGCCCAAATTAGGAAAAAATTGCATAGGGCTTTTTAGGGTCACCTGCAAGACAGACTCAGGACCACTGGAATTCCTGTATTAGCAGCTCGCTGGAGATCATTGGAGTGGAGCTGGCTGACGAGAACTCTTCCCTTGCTGGCTCTGAAGGGCCAGGGAAGGTTTTCAGAACACAGCTCATGTGGTTTTCTCAGTCATTAGTATCTATTCCATTAGGGGTCTGTACCGCTGTATTTCCCTGCTGGTGCAATGACCAATTTTGGGCAAACATCTCTGCCACTTTTGCCATCATGACCCCTTCTTATTGCCTCACCATTACAGATTAGGAATAATCTGTTTTCTTTCCTCTCACAAGGAAGGAAAGGCTTCTTTCCTCATACAACAGCATGGCAAAAGATGGAGGATTGAACCAAAGACCAGAGGGCCAAGGACTCTTCAACCTGGTGATTTCAAGGCTTGCCTGTTTTCTATTGACACAGAACCAGTGAAACAGCCTTGTGCAGTTTTAGATGCTAGTGTTCTGTTCTAATGCTCTTTTCAAAAACTTTATCTTTGAGGGGGAAATCACAATTGAGTACGTCTCATTCAACCAAGGAAACCTGCATGGAAAGAATATATTCCAAGGAACTTAAAAAAAAATTTTTTTTTAAAAATCAGTATGTTGTTCAGAGACTATCATATGCTTAGTATTTAGAGCCCTAAGCTTTAAGATATTTGTAATGTTCAGGTATTTCTGTAAGAGTTTTACAGACATCTGCAGAGTGTTTTCATCAGCAATCTCACACATATAACAAATAAAAGCTGTATGCATTAGGCATTGCCAGGTGTGTATGGGTATCTAAACGCATATATGTATTTGTGCACATCTGTAAAATGCATCCTGTGTGCAGATATTAAACACATCCTCTCTGGGATTACGCTATGACTTGCATATTTGGAGGCAAAGGTTCTGAATAAAGAAGAACCTATACAGAATAGGGTGGAATTTACTGCGGTTGCTGTGGGTTTTCAAAGCGATGGCTGCAGTCAGAATCTGGCCTAAGTAATTAACTTATGAAGGATGGAAAGGAAAAGCAGCATGTGGAAGATGTAATTAATGGGAACATATAACAGTCAGCTCTCACATAATAAATTGGCAGCTATGCCTGAGGTAACTGCCTTTTATTTGTAAAATACAGTTGGAATTTTTTAAAAGTAATTGCACATTTTCTTCCATTTCCACATGGTCCCAGAGAACATAGTACAGTACAAATACCAACAGAAACGCAATAAAATCATGGTTGGTGATTTTGTTTTGTTTGGGTTTTTTTTTCCTTAGGCTTAGGGCTATGATCTTATTTGAGCCAATGCCCGAAGGAAAGGAGGAATACATTTTAGCTCAGGAAAAGACAAGTGGTAAAACATTTTAGTAAGGTTTAATATGGAATAATCTAAAAGGACGAGGCAGGAACAACCAGAATAAATAACACTAACTGGCTAGATATCTATTTGCAGAAGAGATTTAGTAATGTAATTCTCCTGACTTGAGTAAATAATGGTAAAGATAAATGTTCTGAAATCCTTCCATTTTGAAGGCTTGAATTTTCCCCGTCTGCAAGTTTATTGCAGCTTTTCCTGAATAGCAAGCATGACATCAGCTGTTCTTCAGATATACCAGAGATGCTGGCAGATCTTCAAGAAAATGCATTCTACCACTTGCCTAGTGCAGAGCTCTGCAAGGCTGCAGGATGACACAATGGCTCCCCACACCCAGCTGCTGATTCAGCTGACTCAAACAGCCTGCTGGAAAAGCAGTGCTGTAGTCTTCCCTCTCAAAAATATTTGCAAGAAGAAGGTGAAGAGGGCTTGCAACTGGGGTTTGCCCCTGTGACCAAACATACAAGCTACTAGACTTCTTAATTGCTTCTGAAATTTCCAGGCT